ATGAGTATTGAATTTAGCACTAATTTGTTAAACCTTTAATTATATGCAAGAAGGGAATGGTCGCTCCCTTAAACTCATTCGAGATAGCTCTAAAGCTAGCAAAGGCCGATACGGTGATGTTGTTATGAGAGCGCTAACATTCTTCGCTTCCACAATTCTTACTCTCCTTTTATCTTCTTTTTACAATAGCCTTTGGTCATTTTCTTCTTGTTGAATAATATTGCATTTCCGTCCGCAACATCAATCTTATCATTTGAGATTTTCATGTTTCACATGTAACAAATACTTCAAGAGATGAGGCTTTACTGAAGGAAAAAAATGTGAGCCCTCATCAGTGCCACTGAACCCTATTTATAAAGCGGCATGAATTGCAAGCAAAAGAAGTGCCACATTAATCATGATCATTAAGACATTAATGATTATTAATCGATCATCGAATGTTTTTAATACATTTATTCTGCTCATGACATACTTAAAAAGAGGTAAGAGAACTTGAAGGCTAAATATATGCATTCAAATATGCATTAACTCAAGTATGACCCACTAAGGAGCCAGAGGTAAAATTTAAAGTTTGGGTGTTAGATATGTGAATACATCAAAATTAAGTGGTATGTATGTAAATCTTTCTTTATATGATCAATCTTTAAACACTCTAAATCAAATCAAAGCCTTCATGACAACAATAATTCTATTTATTTACACTTTTCATCTAGGAAAGATATTTGACTTTATCGAAAAGCATAGCATTAATAGCTTTTGATTTAAGATTAATTAAATTTAGCTCATTAAATGGTTTGAGATTAATCGTGTTATTGTTTATCTTTGCTTTCCTTTTAAATGAGATAGTTTGAAGATTTTATATCGATGGTAAAAAAAAAAGTAATAGTTTGCTAAATATTTATTAAATATTTAAGGGTTTCATAATTTATTTTAGTACAAATTAGTTAACATTACACCGATAATTAAATTTACATCACAATAATCAAGTGGGAAAGAATTCATTTACTTTGATTCTTCAATGAAAATAAGTAGACATGTGTAAGATATTGCTGAAGGCCTGAAGTCAAATATAACAGACTAATTATTTTAAATGTTGTGAGTAAAAATAAGATAAAGAAACATTCTGTCTAGTATTTGTAGAAGTGAGACAAACATTTTATCAATATCACATGAAACATGCAATAACCCTTTGAAAATAGAAGACAATTAAACACGTTAAAAATACAACAAATAAGGCTAAGAAACCCCAAAATCAAACTAACTATAGAAATATAACAATAAACATATACTCAATCTAAGCTAAGCTAGCTATTTTTTTTTATCAAGTACATCCTTTCCTTTAGCTTGCTCTTCCCAAAAGCTTCATTAAGCTTCATGTCCTGTTTATCGTACAAATCTAACAGGGCCGAGGTTTCTCCAGCTGAGAGTTCTATGCTAACAGTGGGGTCACAATAATTTTGTAAAATTGGCCTGAATGCATCCTCCTCAAGGGGCTTGCAGAGCTATTTAATACGAATCATCATCAGTGCGGGAAACCTAGAAGTCCTCTTATAGTTGATATCTTCCAAGGTTGTTGAATCTATATTATAACCCCCAAAACTGGTTGCTTCAAAAATTTCATGAAGTTGACGAATTGTTTCATTATAAATGAAAAGAGGCATTCCGGGAGTAATTGCCCGGACAGAATCACAATAACTTAGTGTCAAACACAACAACTGCATCTTATTGCCTTTCTCCATGGTTTCATTGCAACAAATAAACATATAACCCACGATCTTATTCCTTGGCGATGTCTGAGCTGATGGAAAAGTTATGAAACACTTGTTAGAAGAATAGCTCTCAAGTAGGATGTCATTATCGCACTTGTTAATCCTAGCGTTTGTCTTGAATTTGCTTACGTTGTTTTCATTGCTCGACTTCTCATCCTCTAACTTTTTCCATGATTGTTTGGTCTCAACGACTTTGTGAAGATAATCAAAGCATTTGATCCGCTTGGTCATTGATCTTCTCTTGTCAGCTAGTTTTGCAGTGAAGATAATCAAAACACTTGTTAGAAGTTAATGATGAGGGCACTAATATGTAATTTTATGATGTTGGGACACTCTCTTTTTACTATGGAAAAGCGAAATATTCAAATACACTTCTAAAAATAAAATTACATAGCAATACCCAATCTGTTATACTAAACCTAATCATACTAATTTAACTAAACTCCTCAAAATATCAATACTATATAT